ATAAAAACTGTCACCCTTTATTTCTGGATGTTAGAATCTTGATAGCACCTATTTTGCATTTAGCATTTGAGTCTTTCTAACTCATAAGTTTTCTATAACTATCTTGGCACATTTTTTCAGTTGCTTCCATAAATGTGGAAATTAAGGATGGGATAAGACCAGATCTTCATACGTTGAGACTCGCTACTGAGTATAAAGTTGATACTAGTTGTTGTATGTAGTAAACACTGGACAGCACATTTTCTACCTGGGGATGAGAGGTAGAACTTCTGTTTGCTTGTTTCCTTCTTTTATTAAGTGAGTTTCTGTTGGGAGTTGCCTGTCATGATGATCATTCTTGGTGGATCGAGGTACTCTGTATTCTAAAACGTTTGGCTAAAGCCTGAGCATTTTGGGTTTTGATTGCCAATACTACCATCTTATTAGAGTTCGACTAATTACGAGCTACCCATTTCTCTGAATACTTGAATGATCGATAACAATGTCAACATTCCTTTCAACCTTGAGAAATTTGGCCAGATCTAGATGGTAGTACATTTTATGTTTCTTTCTCACTGCTGCTGCTGAGTCTTGATATCATATCAAGCAAACAGAAGGCTCTAATATCCAAACTTGGCTTACATCAACTACAATGGGTCGTACTCTCAGTCGCCCTATCAAGCCACAAACTTATGAAAACGTACAATCGAAAACTATTATCTTAACAGATGATTTCAAGCAAATTCTTTTTTTTTAACTTGCAACAGCTACTCTACATAAAGGTACAACTCATCATATCTAGGTCTATATCGTAACACAAGTTTGATCTGCTAGAACAACTGTTATGATCTAGAATAATAAACAATTCCTGTTTTATAAACACTTTGAGAGAGGTTGAATACAAAATTCATTTTCTATGAACATATATTTATAAAAATTGTTTGGAATGTGCAAAATGAAATAAAGCACAATCTCACATTCCAAAAATTCTAGGAAAATTTTATGCTTTTTTGATTTGAAAAAAAAAGCATTTCTGGCCTGATAGGATTTAATGCGTTGATACAAAAAGACATTTTAAGGTATACCAAATTTCTTGTTTAAAATTCTATTTGAGACTTTCAAGTGTTCTATGAGGGAAAAATTCATTCTTAAACCACATTTTTGTAAAAATCATCCTGATATATAATGATATTATTTGAAAATGGCAAAATAAAATTCAGAGTAGAATAATATAGCAATACTACAGCATAAGATATTCACTTCTAAAATTTTATCGAGAAGCTCCTAAAGTTCTTTCTTAAACACGCATACAAAAATTTAGCAAACGTTTAAAAACATTATTAGTCTGATCAATTGCAATTTGTTACTTTTAAGTAGGGTCATCTTTTTCCAAAATATACTCATCATCTAACTGGTACTTTCGAACTATATAACGAATGTAAGAAACAGAAATATGATTGTTGATAAATTTCGAGATTGTTTGTGTTTTAAACATGAATTATGATGGATGCAATTAATACTTAACTCGAACGTCACACAAACAACTAGAATCTTATGATATACAGTCTTGGCCAAAATGTTTGCATATTTTCTAACAAGTAAGATCACTATTATTAAGATGGAATACAAACATACTAAGTGCTGTCAAACTGAAAAATGCATGTTATATTAAACATCTACATATGTAACTTGTATGATGATACAAATTCCATGAACATCATGAACGATTTATTAGAATAGCAAACAATTTTATCAGACACCTGTAGAAATAGTTGCAATTTAGCATTGCACCTATCACAACAAAACTTTACCAAAAATAACATCAATTTATTATAAAGAGCGTCTGTAACCTTATATTAGTTCATATTAAACATTCAGTACTTGGTTGATTCTCCTCGTACTCTAATAACCTCTGCAAGGCAACACGGCATGCTGTCGATGAGGTTACTGATGTAACCCACCATGATTTTATCGAAGCTTGTCACTATAAGGCGCTGCAATTCAGTTACAGTATCTGGTTTATGGTTGTGGTTAACAATTTTCCGGCTCAGTTCTGCCCAATAGTTCTCAATAGCATTACAATATGGAGACTTTGCTGGCCATGGCTACCTTGTAACGTCCTCCTGGTCGAGATAATCCCTTACAAAATGTGCATTGTGAGTAGTAGTATTGTCATCCTGGAACATAAAGTTATTGACAAATTGTGCCCTAGCATATGGCAGAAATATCGTCTCCATGCGATGCCTGTAGAAGGCGCCATTGACGTTTCCCAGGAGGATATGGAGAGCAGTTCTTCTACCATTATGAATAGCTGTCTAAATATATATTGCACCACCTTCCGTGTGTTTGTTCCCTTTGTGAACAACAGTTTTCCTCATCCTTACTTAATAAAAGTCCTTACTTAATAAAACTGGTTTATTCTTTCCGAATACAACTTTACGATACACTTATTTTCAACAGTCGCTCCATAACAAACGCTATATCAACGAACGTCAACAATACTTCTGACTGCAGTTCATTTACTCACTATCTACACACACATTATTCTGTCACGTTGTCATCCTCTTATATATACCAGACTACCCTA